TTATGTGTTATCAATATCAAAGCTAAATTCCAAACCACCTTTCTCGTGAGATCGACTCGGGGAACGAATCTTTCGATTCGATATTCGATAAAAAGAATAATTTGTACACAAAAAATTTGGCGCCATTGCCGGGGAAGGCAAGTAGGATATTTGGTTTTGGTATTGATTTTATTTTCTGTGTTTCTCTTATTTTCATGATTTTCATATTTTTGTTCTCTCTTTTGTGCATATTTGTTTTTTTTTTTGTCTTTCTTGCTTTTGTCTTCTTCTTCTTTTCTTTTCTTTTCGTGGCTACGCGTGGTTGTTCTGCTTTGGTGTGCAGGTATCATAAGCTACAACCGTGTTTACCCCTTACCGCACACCCAACCTTGGGTTAACGAGCCGAGCTACCACACCGAGTACCAAATTCAGTCATACCCATACTCTTCCGAGCAATACCGGGACCCCTTCCCGGTCGAGCAATATTATGAGTCCCACGCATTCAACGAGAAGCTCGGCCGTATTTATGAACTTGCAACATCCCGATTAGCTCAGGAAGACGAAACCGCAGCCAGTGCTCCCAATCACCTCCATTCTACGATTCCCGAGACTATGGCCAGACTTAGTCAGATCCTTACGAGAAACAGTGGGATTCTAGGCCTGTTGAGCAGTCATGTGAGTCCCTCGAGGATTCCTCAGAGTACAATGCCAAGCTTGACCAGGTCCTTACTCTTTTGGCATCCCAGGCGACCCGTAAGAGCAACCTTGAGTCCAGAATCGAGGAACTTGTGGAGCACGTGCAAGCTTTAAAGGATCGAGTTGACAATGTCACTCCCGATCCCGCCACTCAAGGCGAGTCTATACATAGAGATGAATCTCGGGAGGCTGTTTTGTCATACGATGAAAATCTCGACCTCATCCTTACTCGTATATTTGCCCTGACCACTCGAGATGTGGACATTGAGCTCGGATGTGCTAGACTGAGCACCAAGATGGAGACCCTTACAGCACATACCGAAACAATTGAGGCACCAGTCGAAGACCCCCATTTTAGGTTTGATACTCGAGCCCATACATTGAAGCAAATGTGTGAGGCTGAAGAAGAGGATGATAATCCTTAGCGAGACGTTGATGATATTTCAAAGGAGTAGGTCCACGGGCTTGATTCTCAAGTCCCTTCTTCCATCTCCGAGTTTGAGCACCCGTCTCTGAGGCCGCTACACTGTGTTACGAAGTGGGTGGGATTTAGTTCAACTTGCTCCACAGATGAGCTCATACTTCAAGAGGTTGACAACAGAGCTTGTGTGGGAAAAGCTCTGCGTTTAGATCTAGGGATTGCTCGTGCCCGAGCCCGCTTCAAGAAGAACATCGCCACTCGAATCCACTATGCCAGCCTTCTCGCCAAGCTTCCCAGGCTACCACAACTGGAAAACACGAAAGCATGGCACGACCGTCACTTCTTCTTAGATCCCGGTTGAGTTCCCTACAGGTTTCGTCAAGCTAATGATGTTAAACAAGCGCTTCTTGGGAGGCAACCAAGTGATTTACTGCTTTTGTTGATATTTTCTCTTGCTTTTTAGTTTTATTCTTTGAATAATGGGAGTTTTGGAGTTTTGTGTTTTTCTTGGCTGGTACGAGATTACGATGCATGAGGATTGTGTTGAGTGAATACTATCGAGGCTCTGGGACTAAGCATAGGGGAGCGACTTGCGCGTGAATGTTTGTTCTCCTCGAGGCGTTTCGGTTTGCACACCATTTTTTTTTTCTTTTTGAGTTCTTTTTCTTTCGTCTTTTCTTTGGAGTTTGTGTCTTGGGTTAGCTGCTAGTGTGGTTCATTATGTGAAATTGTTAGGTCCTTTATTTGACTTCCTGCTCCTGGTTTTATGTTGAAGCAATGAGGTCATTGCCTCATTTAGAGTGTGGGGGAGTCTAATTGGATTTGCATGCTTATGTGGTGGACCGGTCTAGTTTTAGGATTTTGTTGTGTCTTTTTGAGCTTGGACTATGGTGTATGGCAAGATTGGTTATGACTGTCGATTGAGTTGAGTAGTTGTGATGATGTGAATTGGTGGCATATCTCGATGAATTTGCTTGGTTGTTTTGATTGACATTATCTACCTTGTGAGGCTTGAGCCATACTTGTTCTTTGTGAGATTTTGTTCTGAAATTTATTCAATTAGAATTTGCCTTGAGTCTACTTTTAAATGAATTGACTGAGTTTGTGAAACGTGAAAAAAATTGAGGTGTTCCTTGTATTTTCTTCCCCTTTTCTTTTTCTCAGTAAATAATTCTCACTAGTCACCCTTTTTGACCCTTGTTAATATTTTTCCTTGACAACCTCGTATGATGATGTTGAGGATTGATGATTTGTTTAATGGAGGTGGTCATTGTTGGGTTTTGACCAAAAAAAATATGAAAAAAAAAATGGAGGCCGAATGGATTTTACTCCAAGTGCCTGACCACTAATGTAAGTGGAAATGAGCAATGAGTACGGGAAACCGGTCTAGGAGACTCGGGCGGAAAACCCGAAGGCTAAACCTAGATAAATTGTCCAAAAGGTTATCCTAAAAACAAAACAAAAAAAGTAAGAAAAAAAATGATGATTGAATAATTGTTTGGGAAGTGTGTTGGTGTTGGAGTTAGTAGGGAGGAACCGATTAGTGTTGTGTTCATGATCACGATTGGGTGATGACATTGAGTTAAATTTATTTTATTTGAGCCACTTAACCTATATGTATCCTACTCGATCCAAAGAGCCTACATTTCATCCCTAGAAGTCCTCTTGATTCATTGTTTCACGAACTTGATTGTTTTAGAGTAAAAGTTAGATAATAGGCAAACTTATGATTGATTTGATGGATGACCGGTCAGCTTGAGCGTACCTATCTCATATTTGCGAAAGAGACTGACTGAGGCGTATGATATATTTTCGTACTTGAGAGTCTTTGTTTTTCGAAGTAACCAAGTTAATAATTGAGGTGTGCTATTATGATCATTGGAATTCTTCTCGACTTTATTGACTGGTTTGAGATTAGTCTTACTTGAAACCATGTCCATGCTCATTTGTTTCTTTTCTTTTCTTTTCTTTGTTCGGGACGAAAAGGTCTTAGTGTGGGGGAGTTGTTTGTCCCATTTTTGTTGCATTTTTTTCTTATTATTTTTTCTTTTTTTTTTTCCCCCATATTTGGTCTTTTAGTTAGCTTTTAGTCCATTTTGTCGTTTATTGTGTGTTTTTCGCAGTTTCTGTCTTTTTTGTGTTTTCCATATGTTTTTCTGGTTTTTCCTTCTTTTTTTTGGTGTGCAGGTCGGAGGCCCCGGGAAGAATAGATTTAGCCCGAGAAACCATGGTTGTGTAGATGGGTTCGTTGGCTACACATAGAAAAAACTGAAACTCGATTTTGAGTTCGTATGAGTCCAAACGGGCCCAAAACGTGAAGTCGCGCAAAGTCGCACGTGAATCACGCCTTTAGTGTGTTGGTCAAGAGCTTTGAGAGGATTGTATTTCAAGAATAAATTGGCCATGCAAGAATCATTGAATAGAGGGGTTCGTTAGCGACGCGTAGGAAAAAACAGAATCAAATTCCGAGTCTGAACGAGCGTAAACGAGCTCGAGACATGAAGAAGGCCGAGCTGCCAGGCGCCGCGCGCGCGCCGCGGCGCGACGCATGCCATGACTCGGACAGAGACTCCCAGGCTTAAGCGCGCCGCGGCGCGACACCAACAGTCACCGCGGCGCGACGCACCTCCGCGGCGCGACAGAAGCAGTCTTCGCTGCGCGACACCCCTCCACGGCGCGACACTGTGTGACTATATATACGAGAGAGACAGGACCTCGACAAAAAAAAAAAAAAAA